ATTGGGTGCGTCACTTTCGCACTCTGAAGGGCAGACTGAACTACGCCCCTAACGCGCGCCCCTACGGAAAAGGGGTCCGCTTTACGCCCAAGTCGGAGGAAGAGTACCGCGTAATACAGCGGTACCTCTCCGACTTAGAAAAAGAAGAACACATCAGCTGGTTCTCCTACCAGCTGCCGGCGGAAAAGAGTGTGAAGGTGGCCATCCGCGGAATACCAGCGGACACACCCGTCGAGGAGATAACCGAAGCCCTGGCGGAGCTTGGACATTGTCCAGAATATGTCCGCCAGATAAAAGCCCGCCAGGGCCGCCCGGGGTGCATTTTCTACGCACAACTGAAGCGCACCCCGGCGACCATCCCCGGCATCTATCAAACAACAGAACTGTTATGCATGCCGGGGATAAGAATCGAAGCCTGTAGAGGAAAAAAAGGCCCGGCACAGTGCCATAGGTGCCAAAGCTTCCGGCACTCCTCGCACGGGTGCCACAGAAAACTTGCCTGCGTCCGCTGCGGCGAAGAGCACACGGCGCGCGACTGTCCGCGCCCCCGAGAAGAGCCTCCGACGTGTGCCAACTGTGGGGACAAGCACACGGCAAACAGCGTCTCCTGCCCGGTCTTCAAGAGGGAGATAAGAAACCGAAAGGCAGGAGCCACTGCCAGAACTCGCTCCAGATCAACGCACAAAGACCGCACAGTCCCCACAGCCGCGGACAGGGGCAACCTAATGGCCCCGGCCAATCCGGCAACAGAGCGGTCGCGGAAACCGCCTCAGAAGAGGAGAAAGAGGGGGAGGAAAAGCAGAGGCAACAGCGACAAAAAGAAAAATGCTTCCGGGTCCGCGGAGCAGGCCCCCGCACGCAGCATCTACACCACACGCCCGCCAGCGGTCGCCGCCCTCGATGCTGACGCGACAACTGATGCAGCAACTGCAGCCCCAACAAAAACCGCCGCTGCCGTACCTACAACACAGGCAGTACAGACACAAGTCGCCAGCAAGGGGAAGATGGCGAAGCGTGCTAAAGAAACCAGCACCTCCACCACCACCACCACCACCACCACCAACACAAGCACGGCAGATATGGTGAAAACTATGCTCACCATCCTGATGGAGGTGCTACTTGCGGTGCAAGCCGGATCGGACCCAGTACCGGCGATCACCGCAGGAATGGCGAGGCTGTCCAACACTAAATGGGACTAAGATTGCTGCACTGGAACGCGGACGGGGTCCGCAAGAAGACAACCCTGCTCCGGACGCTGCTTATGGAGTACCGTGTCGACGTGTGTCTCATTTCTGAGACACTACTGGGAGCTCTCGACACACTCCGCATTCCAGGATACCATGCATACCGACAGGACGAGATTACGGACGGCCAGAAGGCATATCGCGGGTTGGCTGTCCTGGTGAAAAGGAACGTAGTGCATCAACCGCTCCCCCGGGTGAATCTCACATCCATGTACGCACTCGGTGTCGAGCTATGCGTAGATAGAAGCCCCATCCGTGTGTTTGCAGTATACAAACCACCACAGAACAGGATTGCAGCTGCAGACGTCGCCGTCATCTTCGATTCGCAGCTGCCCACTGTCGCCGCAGGCGATTGGAACTGCAAACACACGGCCTGGAACTCCAACAACGACACGCCAGAAGGAAAAGCACTACTAGGGATAGCTGAGAGAATGGATATCACCGTGCTCGGCCCTGAGGTTCCAACTCACTATCCCTACATTTCAGCACATGCTCCAGACGTATTGGACTTCGCCTTATACAAAGGACTAGACAGCCAACCGACGCAGGAAGTCCTCCTCGAGGACATCCAATCCGACCACCTGCCGGTGTGCATAGTTATTCCACAAACACCGACATTCCTGACGCCGCGCCTCCCACGCCGTCGGATCGACTGGGTGAAATTCAGGGACTCGATGGAGCACAACACGCCCATGATGGCAGTCTCAACCTCGTCTGAAGTCGAAGAACTCGCTGCTAACCTGTCAGTCTCCATACAGCACGCCATGGACATCGCAGCGCAGCCGGGACCTGTAACAAGGACCCGCGAGTGGATCCCGGCTGCCACCAGGATGAAACTAGAAGCGAAGCGCCGATTGCGTAGGGACTGGCAGTCGACACGTTGCCCCACCCTCAAGACGAGGTTGAACAAACTCGCCGAAGACATCAGGCGAGACATTGAGTCCCACAGGAAGGAAAGCTGGGATCGATTACTGGAAGACGCCGGCGACGACTGGAATAGCATCCACCGCCTATGCCGCCGGCTGTCCCAATCCCAGCCTCCGGTCCGACCACTACTGGCGAGCGATGGGACGCCGAGATACCGTGCAGCAGACCGTGCGGAAATCCTAGCCGAACACCTAGAACGCCAGTTCCAGCCGAACCCGGTTACCGATACCGAACATGCTGCCATGGTAGTCAAATACGTTGAAAACTACCTGGCTCCGCCACTAGCGCCACACGAAGACCCGGTGGTGTTTACGCCGGGACAAGTGCAGCGTGAATTAAGAAAAACGAAGCCTCGGAAGGCCCCCGGCAGCGATAATATCACGAATACGGCATTGCACCACCTGCCGCCGCGCACTATAGCGGCAGTTACACGCCTGTACAATGGTATTATGCGCACAGGGCATTTCCCAAACACATGGAAGATAGGCAAAGTTATCACGCTGCCTAAGCCCGGTAAGAACGTATTGAAACCGGAATCGTACCGGCCAATCACGTTGTTGCAGCATGTATCGAAGGTGTTTGAGAGACTACTTCTCAAACACATAAACACATACATCAAGCCCAGAGAAGAGCAATACGGGTTCAGAGCTGAGCACTCCACCACCCTGCAGCTGATCAGGATACTGCACACGTTCACAACGGCCATCAACAAGAAGGAAGTCGCCGTAGCAGTATTCCTCGACATGGAGAAAGCTTTTGACAGGGTCTGGCACGACGGTCTGCTGTACAAGTTGGCCACCCAGACAGAAATGCCAAGAAGGCTCATCCAAGTGGTGGCCTCATTTCTCAGGAATCGTCGGTTCATGGTGGCGGTTGAACAAACCTGTTCGGGTGAGCGTCCCATCCGAGCGGGCGTCCCGCAAGGCAGCTGCTTATCGCCTGTGCTTTATGCGCAGTACACCGACGACATCCCAACCACGGAGCAGACTACACTGGCGCTCTACGCCGACGATGCAGCCTACGCCGCGACGTCGCTCAACAATAAGCACGCGGCGTCAAAACTCCAAACGGTATTAGATGCCCTGCCAGAATGGCTGGGAAAATGGCGCCTGTCGGTGAACGTGCGCAAGACACAGGCGATCACAGCCAACATGAAAAGGACGCCACCACAGCTACGCCTGCTCGGTTCCCCGATCGAGTGGTCCCGCACCGCCACCTACTTAGGGGTGGAAATCGACCGCCGGTTGACTTTTGGAACGCACGTCAAGAAGGTTCGCCAGAAGGCTAGAACAGCCAGGCACCTGCTGCGTCCGGTACTCGTCGGAAACCTCCCTCTCCAGATGAAGACGGGAATTTATAAAACGTACATCCGCCCGCGTCTAACTTATGCCGCGCCGGCGTGGTACGCACTCGTCAGCAAGACAAACAGAAGAGCATTAGAAGCACAACAGCACCTGACGTTGCGTACCCTGACCGGTGCGCATAAGTTCGTCAGAAACGCCACCCTGGAGAGGGACCTCAAAATCCAGCCACTGGACGCACACGTGAAAGAACTAGCGACTAGACTGTTCCAGCGCGCGGACGCATCAAAATGGGACCACCTCAGAGGCATAGCGCCTCTGCACGCTAGACCGCCGGAGATGAAGCCATACGCGCGCGAACTCACCCGCTCGCGCGAAGCAGAAGAAGAAGGCACGGTCCCATAGTGTAGAAGCGCGTGGCGCCGTCGTCATGGGCCGCTCTTGCGCTGGCAGTTTGCCGGGCCTCCCCCCATGGGGTCTCATCTGGCAGGCGAAGACCGCGCCGACCGGCCCAGACGGCGCCAACAGTCTACAAGTGAACCTTAGTGCGTTCCTATGAAAACCACCGGCAAGTACCACCCCCAACTACCCTGCACATGGTAATGTGCGGCGAGAGACACCAGCAGAAGGGGGCCAACGCCCCGGGCTGCTATACCCCCCACGTCCCCTTTATACGGCTACGTGCGGAGAATACCTACGAGCGAGCGGCATTCGCTTCCGGGCAGCGACGCACTACACTCGAGAAGAAATAGGACAAGAAGAAAAAATACTCTCTTCAGACGGTACTGGAGGCTTCAGAATAGTAATCCCTGTGTTTCACTCCAGCCTGAACCAACGCCCCTACAGTCCACGCTCACCGTGCGGCAGTCCACACCGTTCATATATATATATACAAAATTATAGGTAGAAAAATCTTGTTTCTTTTTTGTATGTTTTTCAATATGTAATGAATAAACTCAAAAATTATTCTACAGATTTTAAAAATTCTTTTACCTATAGAACTATTAAAGCCTATGTGTTCCTCTGATGTATAAGCTACAACATTCTAAAGTTTCATCGCAGTTCGTTCAGTAGTTTTTGCGTAAAAAAGTATCAAACATCCATCGTTACAAACTCTTGTTTTTTTTTATTCAACTTAGAATGGCAAACAAGCTGACGGCCCACCTGATGGAAAGTGGTAACCGTCGCCTATAGATATGAGCAGTACCATGGACATAACAGAGTGTACTGTTTCGCCCATGATTAATCCCCCATGCGTTGCCATTCCTGAGGACTCAGGTGTTATTCCTCTGTACCCAGTAAATTTACGCCATATACCACCTTATTCCACCTTTATATATATATTCCACCCTTGAAACCGAAACACAGCCATGCAAACACAACTGCTTCACGGTAGAAAAACGAATGGGACAGAGGTACCCAAGCAATCGACTTTTGTACAAAGTCTCCCTCTGGTAATATATTAATAGGCTCCATTCACAATTAACAGTTGCTAAATGTCTACACTAAACAAATATTAACAAAGTACCTTCAACAGTTCAACGGCGAGCGCCCGCTCCTCTTCGTCCTGGTCTCCGTACCTCTCCTTGATCCTCTTCAGCTTCCCGCGCTGCCCGCGCTTTAGTCCTTCTTTTTGTTTTTCCTGCTTCTCCTCGTTTCTCTTCCGTTCTCTACTCTGTTTCTGTGGTTTCTTCCCTCCTTTTTTCGGTAGTGACGGGAAGGACAAGGGTTTATCGTCACCTGAAAATAAATAATGTATTCTTATTAATTCATTTATTTATTTAATTAATTTATTTTGTTTAATTATTTATTTTGTTTATTTATTTATTTAATTTATTTATTTATTTAACTCTTTATTGCACCATAAACAAAAATATACAATGACAAGTGAATAATTCAAGTGAAATGCAGTAACATAAATACAGATTGAAATATACACATAAAGGTACAATTTAATTAATTAATTTAATATTTTATTGTACACATTAATTATACATAAAAAATATGACAGAGGTAATCAAATGTACAAAGGCGAGGTAACTCTTTTAGAGTTCTCTTCCAACCAATGGCGTAGCTAGGTAACCAAATGCCCTGGGGCAAAATATAAACCAGTCCAAGAATACAGGGGAGGCCCCTGTATTTTTATGTATTTTTTTAAATATGTTGACCTGGTTTTGGCAAAGTATTTGTATGGATACACTCTATCTATACAATGTAAACCCTGGTTGTTTGTTGTCCATTGATGTTCCATGGACTTATCAGTTTTTACCACTTTTCGGTTTGAAGGGTGGGATATGGTGTGAATTTACAGGGTACAGAGGAATAACACCTGAGTCCTCAGGAATAGCAACGCATGGATGGTATCATGGGCGAAACAGTATACTCTGTTATATCCATGGTACTGCTCATGTCTATACGCGACGGTTACCACTTTCCATCAGGTGGGCCGTCAGCTTGTTTGCCATTCTAAGTCGTATAAAAAAAAAACTTAATTTTTGCTTTACCTAGCCTCTAAAGGGCCTGACGTGTAGATACATCCAAAGGTCGCTTGGAAGAGATCACTCTTAGCAATAAGGCCGCCCATTGTTTTCTCAGTGTATGTAATTGTCTTTTAATTGTTTGTATTTATAATAAATTTACTATTGTAATCTTTTGGAGGAAACAATAAAGATTATGTATCTATCTATCACAAACAACTTACTGTTGTCTGACACCTCAGACATAGTTCTTGTTTTGGACTCCATAATCACTTGGCCAGTCCCATGGTCCACCTGCAATCAAATGTTATATATTATATTAAAATCCCGTGTTACCATGACTGCTCATAATAATCTTTGAAATAGCTGAATCAATTTTAACGTTGGGGGGGGGGGGGGGGGGGGTTTGTTAGTAATGGAGACAAAGTTGACTGATCAACCTCCACGTGGTTCTCCCTGGAAACCATCGTGCTGAATTCTAGGTCTATTCATCACAATGGGTTAACTGATCTGCCTTTTCATTCTCACCTATCATCCTTTACTGGTGACCAACCGGCGTATACCGTTAGCGCGGGCGGCCATAGTATTGTTTTTTGTCCATTAAGAAAAAAATCTATTTTAATATATATATTTATATATATATATATATATATATATATATATATATATATATATATATATCTGAAATATGGGTAGTTTAGTTTTATTAATATTATATAGCGGATTGTGTTCTGAGGAATTTTATTTTATTATTTTATTGGCACATCACAACAGATCACAACCATAAAAAAAACTTAAATAATAGTTACATTTGTGATTCGGCTAGGTTATAATCTAATCACATTATGTACACAGCTTGAGTAATTCATGAAAAGCAAACACATAAAATAAAGTAAATACTTAAAATTGTTCGAGATGACGACGACAGCCACCTTTTATCATCACACTGCTCGGCAAAAGAGACCACAGTATGGGGTTCTTCAAAAAGCGCATATTAAGGTTTCTTCGGGGGCGGCGACCTGCACGTAACGCCTTTAGTGTCACAGGCGTCTATAGGCTACAGTGACCGTTTACCATCAGACGAGCTGTATCCTTGTTTCTCATCTTCATAAGATGTTTAAATATTTATTCATCACTCATTCATGCTTAATGGCTGAACATATTAGAATTCCATTCATTCATTCATTCAATTTCTGGTACACGGGTAGGCTAAATCCTAGCTTAACCTATAGGACACTTAATATACCGATTCACACGGACAAAGTCGCGTGAAAGTACTAGTTCACCTTAATATGTGTATCTGGAAACGTTCCGTCGCTGTCATCACTTTCGGCTGCACTTTCTTCACCCTGCTTCTCCTGTTTGTCTTCTGCGTCCAATTCTTCTTCTACTACATTCTTTTCTGCGACTTTAAGTTGCGTAGGTCCATTACTCTGTTCGAAGTCAATTTTTGTTGTTTCTTCTGTGATCGTATCTAATTTGTCTGTTGGGGATTTCGCATCGTCTTTCTCTGATGGTTCATCTATAAAAATTTAATAATTATAACGTCTGAGGGGTATATGGATGATTTGGTGATATGTCATGATTTAAATAAAAAAAAAAAACTCACCGTCATCAGAGACTAGGATCTCCTGGTCCTCCTCCTGCGTGGAGGTGACCTCGGAGCGGGCGTCGTCCGCAGCCACCGCGCGCCTCTCATCGCGGTGACGCTCTATGCAGCTGTCCTCCAGCTGTGACCGAACAAGTAAAAATATTTTACCATCATGTTAAGGCCCAAAAAAGATAAGACGACATGAGCGAAATTTGGAATATATTGCTTTAAAAGCAGACACTGCACACACTTTGAGACTATTCTGTAAAATATCCCCCCCCCCACCAACCCCCTCTAGAGAGGGCGTATATATACATTCAGATATGTTTTTGTTCATTTTGCTAAAATAAAGTTTCGCTCTTGCTACTGAGGTGAGCACTGGACAAATGAGGTGGGCGTGGCTTACCGAGTCCCCCTTTAAATACGTCTATCCGGGTGAGCATTCCCCCAGGGCTAGTTTAATTAATTTTGTGATACCATTTTCAGTCGTATTGCCATGTATTTACAGTTGCTCCATAATGATTTAGTTTCTTCACCATTACTCCATCAGTATGGCCTGACGTTTCAATCTTTTGCCCGGTTTATTTACCGAGTAAAGTAGAATGAGGGGAAAGGATTTGTAAGTTAGTTACATATTTAGCCTCCCCTATAAGGGCGGTTTTGCCTGTAGTTGCCACGCTTGGTAGGTGGGTTGGTAACCGCAGTTTGATTTCTGGTAACGTTTTAAGTGGGACGCTGTTACCCATCCCTCCACCATAAGCTCCTTTAAACGCCTCTTAAGACATTCACGGGAAAGGAAGGGGTAGCCCATTCTATGCTAGGACCTACACGACTTGTTAGTAATTACTGACAATGGGGCAAATAGACCCCTTTTTGCCCCATTGTCAGTAATATATCCAATCAGGTGACCTTCATGCAATTCCTCCTAGAAACTATCTAGGTTAAGAATTGTTGAATTCATCACAATGGGCCAAATGATCCGCTTTCATCCTCAAATATCACCCCTCACTGGTACCCCGCCAGAATAGCCATACCAATAGCGCAGGTGGAAACCATTCCGATTCCTCCATAAATATAAACCTCACCCTGAACATGAAGCTGAAGCCGAACTGCAGGTGGTCGGGCAGCAGGTAGTTCTTCTTGCCACGGATCATGAAGGAGCCGGTGGTGAGAAACTCGCCAGTGGGCGCTGTCTTCGACACTTGGTGCGCGTGCACCCACCACGCGCGGGTCACCACCTTCGCCTCCCACGCCACGCTGCAAACATATATTGCTTTATGCAACTTAGAATGGCAAACAAGCTGACGGCCCACCTGATGGAAAGCGCTAACCGTCACTTGCAGACATGAATACTATTATGGACGTCATAGAATACACTATGACCCCTCGTGGGGGGAAGGGATTGTTAGTAATGAGGAGGTTAGTCCCCATCGCTATCAATACACCCTATCAGGTCGACCTCCACGTGGTTCCCTCTGGAAACCACCGTGACTAATTTATCGTTGAATTCGTCACGATGGGCTAACTGGCCTGCTTTCATCCTCAGCAGTCATCCCTCACTGGTGACCCGCCATTGTATACCAATAGCGCAGACGGGGTTACCATACCATTATCACCCATTAAAAAACCGTAACTTTCAGGGGGGGGGGGACGAAGATATTTTTTTTTTAATTTTTTTATTGACACATAAAACAGATTACAACCATAAAAAAAAATTAACTAATAATTACATTTGTGATTCGGCTAGGTAATAATCCGATTATAATATGTGCACAGCTTGAGTAATACATTGAAAGAAAACACATAATATAAAAAGAAATAATTAAAATGTTATATAAATATATAAAAGATAAAACTATAGAAAAAAAAACATATTTTCAATCGTGTTCTACGTAATAGAAATTGTAAGTAATGGAAATTTACTAGCTCCATCTACGTGGTTCCTCCTGAAAACAATCGTGGTTGATTCTTATGGAAGTTATCACGATAGGCTAACTGACCTGCCTTTTCATCCTCACCTATCATCCCTCACTGGTGCCCTGCCAGCGTATACCATTAGCACAGGTGGTGTTACCATTCCATTATCATTCCACAAAAAAAAAACCGTCAAAATTTACTGGGTACAGAGGAATAACACCTGAGTCCTCAGGAATGGCAACGTATGGGGGTATCATGGGCGAAACAGTATACTCTGTTATGTCCATGGTACTGCTCATGTCTATAGGCGACGGTTACCACTTTCCATCAGGTGGGCCGTAAGCTTGTTTGCCATTCTAAGCTGTATAAAAAAAAATTTTGGGTCATGTAATATAGCAAAATAATAAGTAAAAAAAAAGTATATTTTACATTACCTGTACGCAACGGCAGCCTGGCCAGCCTCGGCGAGGGTCCGCGGCGGCAGTTCACGGCCGGTGGGGTTCTTCACCAGCACCGAGGACGCACCCGCAACTTCTGCGTGCACGTACGCGTCACCAGTCCTCAGGTGACGTTTCACCAGGAGCTCGTTCTGCTGCTGGTCGCGACCCGCTATCACCTGTCACCGTCGAAGGATCGAGTAATTCTTAGATTACATAGATTTTTTTTGTACAACTTAGAATGGCAAACAAGTTGACGGCCCACCTGATGGAAAGTGGTAACCGTCGCCTATAGACATAAGCAGTACCATGGACATAACAGAGTATACTGTTTCGCCCATAATACCCCCCATGTGTTGCCATTCCTGAGGACTCAGATGGTATTCCTCTGTACCCAGTAAATTCAAGCCATATCCCACCCTTCAAAACGAAACACAGCCATGCAAACACAACTGCTTCCCGGTTGGGAACACGAATGGGACAGAGGTACCCAAGCAATCGACTTTTGTACAAAGTCTCCCTCTGGTAAATATTATTCCTCTGTACATACAACTTACCAGATAGTTGTCAGAAGATATGAACCAGTAGAATTTCTCGAACCAGTACGTCTTGCGCGCCTTGCTGATGCTGCTGATCGTGTGCGCTTCCTTCAGGGTCTGCTTCGTCTTGCGTTCAGCGCTTTTAAGCGCTTTGTCCGCTGACTCCAGTGTTTTCTGCTGCTTCTTCGCGGCGTTCCGTTTTTGATCGTAGTACCTAGGGTGTTTGAGCAATTTTTTTTATACAACTTAGAATGGCAAACAAGCCAACGGCCCATCTGATGGAAAGTAGTAACCGTCGCCTATAGACATGAGCAGTAGCATGGACATAATAGAGTATACTGTTTCGCCCATGATACCCCGCATGCGTTGCCATTCCTGGGGACTCGGGTGCTATTCCTCTGTACCCTGTAAATTCACGCCATATCCCATCCTTCAAACCGAAGTAAAGTAAAAATTGTATAGTGATCCTGGGTCCGATAATGCTATACGTAGGCGGGGTACAAGCTAGTGACAATACGTAAGAATGTTAGTGCATTGTAGCGAACTAGATTGGAATAGCCCACGATGGTTTCTACATTTTGTGTTACATGTTTAATTTTGTTTCCTTCACTTGTAATGGCTGTTAAATTACTATTTAAGTATGTAATTATTTATTTATTTCGAACTAGCAACCAGTCCCGGTTTCGCACGGGTGGACATTTTTACATTTTAAAAAGTGGCCATTAAGGTTGCACACGCGGCGGAAGCTTAAAAATGGAGTAACTTCTCCCATTTTTCCAACATTTCCCTTCACTGCTCTGCTCCTATCGATCGTAGCGTGATGAAAAGTATACTATAACCTATCCAGGAGTATGAACAATAATTGTATCAATTTTCATTAAAATCCGTCGAGTAGTTTTTGTTTCTACAACGAATATACAGAAAGACAAAAATTTTACTGATTGCATTTTTGGCATCAGTATCGATCACTAATCACCCGCTGATAGTTGTTTTGGAAATATATTTCATGTACAGAATTGACCTCTCTACAGATTTATTATAAGTATAGATTTTATATTACCTGATTGAAAAATAACATGTACCTTCTAGCATTAGCGAAGGCCGTGAGCGACAGGTCTATATCTACGAGCATTGGCTTCAGTTTCTCTTCATTGTTTTCATCATTGTCATCATTATCTTCATCATCGCTGGTCTGGTAGGGGTCCTTCAGCAGCAGTGTGATGTGGTTGGTGTTCAACTTGAGGCCCTTGATGTAGGTGGCCACCGGGTCATTGTTGTCTTGGGCCGTCTTCACCAGGAGTTTTATGTCTTCCCATGACATCTGAAATTAATAAGCGGCATGTACTGTCTATCCAAGATCTGTGACCTGCTTATAGAATGTATATGAAGAAATACATTGGAGAGTAAATACAATAATGGGAAGGTTGGCAGAGAGATCACACTCTTTTATGGTTGGAAACTGGTGTATTGAGGTAAAGGGATTATTAGTAATAGGAAGGTTAATCTCCATCGTTATCAATATACCCCATCAGGTCGGCCTCCACGCGGTTCCCCCTGGAAACTATCATGACTAATTTATCGTTAAATTCGTCACGATGGGCTAACTGACCTGTCTTTTCCTCACCTATCACCTCTCACTGGTACCCCGCCAATGTATACCGATAGGGCAGGCGGAGTTACTACGTCATTTTCAACCATTAAAAAAAACTGGTGTACTTCAGTTTTACATGATGGATACTAAGATCTTAACTAGTTACAAAGAAAAAAATAATAATACAACCCGAGTATTAAAGCCGTGCGATATATTGGAACAAACATACAGATATACAAATTTCTGAAATCTGTAATATAATCTCTTACTCCTATCTAAAACCCTTATATCAATTTTTCTTAAATATTTTTCATGTACGGGGGTCGCCAACGTGCATTTATTAGATTAGATGGGGTGACGACCTCACATGCATTACAAGGGATCAGTAGATGCAGGTGGCTCAAGACTGTTCCTTGTGGCAGTCTGTGGGGGAGGCCTATGTCCAGCAGTGGACATATAATGGCTGTGATTAACGAATGTATAAAAAACAAATCCATGTACAGATATCGTTCAATTACAATTTTATTATATTAGTACGATAAGATTATTGTAAAAATAAGATATAAACTATCCTGAAAAGGAGTGAGCAATGTCCTACATTGTCGTGGTCCTTCGAGCCGGATTACTCAATATAATCACAACAAATTGGAAACAGTTATAAAGGACATCCATCTATTATGGACATCCTATAAGAGATGGTTGTTTCTACAGCATGAATACGGGTCTATTTCATAACAGAAGAATATAATGCTGGTATATGATGCTTGGCTATGGAGCTACGAAGAAGGAGGTACTCAATTCTGTCGTATTTTTTTAACAATATATTTGTTACCCCATAACTCTATCAGTTGTAAACTGATTTGGTATATGTATTCCTTTTTTATCTGAAAGGTTACAAATTAGTCCCATACAAATTTTATCAAAATTGGTTCAATAGTTATTTTTAAATCAAAATAATTGGTTTTGTCACAATTAAGTCGGTTTTTTTGTGGGACACAATCTTTAATTATTTTTATCCATCACCACATGGAGAGTCAAATTCTGACCAAAATCAACAGTTTCCAGCACACAAATAACAACAGACATAGAGACGATAAAAAAAAACATAATAGAAGTGATAAAAACATTTAAAAAAATATATATAGCATAGACAATACCTGATTAGCTATAGCGGTCTGTATCGCGAGCCGAGCTTGTTCGACGAGCGGCTCGTTGCGAGCGATCAGTTCGGCCGCTTTCTTGTCCTCCAGTTGCACCTGTGTCAGCTCTGTAACGCGTTTCTCGTGATCTTTGCGTACATTTTGAAGTTTCTTCATGGCTTCCCTTTCTATTTGTACAGTCTGAAATTATAATATAAATTGTTGTTTATAACTTACTTAAAAAAAAGAAGGCTTTTATTTATAATGATGCTACCACTAATATTACTAGTCAACTCGAAGTCAACAGTGGTGCCCTCTAATGTTAAAAGCTTTTAAGCCGCCTCCGTTGTATAAGAGGGTTTCTAACGTGGCTTACCGGATAATGACTTCACATGCCCTCCGAAGCAAGGAACAAGCAATTATAATCACACGATTGGGATAGAGGTACCCAAGTAAGTGACATTTGTAGTCTCTCTCTGGTTAACTGGTACAAAAGTTGTCTGGATGATATATTATTAATTTACTGTATTTATTATATTTGTATCTGGTGCAATAAAGTGTAAAATAAATATATGAAATAGTCTATGTAGTTCATGTTTACAGCTCATGCATGCATGCATTAACAAATATTACATGCAGACTAATCTAAAAGGTATCTAAGAGACTAGAATAGTATCCAGGTGAATTGAATTTTAACAATAATTAGAATAAAAAAAGCAGAGTTTATAATACCTTCATATCAATCTTCTGGCCTTCCAAAGCCGAGAAGAACTCGTCAGCAGCCCGTTCGAAGGTCTCGTACTCCTGATGCGGTTGGTTTCGGTGCTGTGAATACAGCATCGGATGGAACTCGATGTTGGTGAGCAAGTATGAGGGCTCATCTCCCTCTGGGTTCGGTCGTTCCTCCTTCTTTTGTGTTATGAAGCCCTGGTAGCATACAGATGATGGTTAGATTATAATGCAATTTTTTAAATAATAACGGAGATAATCAAGCATACGGTCCGCCGTAAGCAACCATCGTGTTCGCTCACAAATGATTGCAATAAGGGGCATACGGATTCCATGCACAAACTAGGATAATCCTGGTGTCCACTCCAGAATCAGAGTGGAGCTTTTAGCAAATACATGTCTCAGAGTATAACATATGCGCTCTTTTTGCCCTCCGCCATCTTTAAAAATAATTTTAAAAATACTAATGTAATATTATATAATTTGAAACCTGAATACAGTATTAGACATAGATGATTTTGGAAAGTCTCCCTTCTGCTCCTGCTCACAGCAGAAATCATATATAAGTGACCAATACATGGTCATTTGTGGTTAAATGATACCACTTTATATTGTTAATGTTCTTTTATTTAAAATCAGATAAAGAATAATTTCGACCGAAAATTGTAAATTGACAATAAAAAATGGCACGAGAATGTTTCCGAAGCTTTATTGTAGGAATGTGCCAAATGTTAGTGATGTCATAAACCGTCACATGTCGAAAAAATGGCATAGACCAACGAACATAGACAATACCTTAGCAACTGTCTTTTTAGCTGCATCAAGCAACTCCTCAGCTTGTTTTAGCGCTGTCGCCAGTTTCTCCAGGTCCCTCTCAACAAAGAAACCCTTGTTAGGATCCGTACTAATCTTCAGGTTACCCGATAGTCCATTCTCTAGTAGAACATGGTCGATAATTGCAGCTCCAAACTCTGTTTATGGCAATATAAAGAAAAGATATTGATATGTTTGCAAAAGGTTTGCATTTTTCTTTTTAAAAAGCAACAAGTTTTTTAATAAGCAAGTACCTTATATAACGTCTTCGTACATTGTAATTTAAACGTTTTTATTATTGGAAGTTTATTTGTAGGATTATTTCTAATTAAAATGGATATTTTTTTTTTATAAGAATATACATTACCAGAGGGCCTACCATGAAATGTTTTTCGAAATTTCGGGAACGAACGAAGCACAAATTTGATGTTAAAATTACATAATACATGCCGTTTGGAAGTATTAAAAATGTTAAAATGTTGTTCCTTTGGACTTTTATGATAGGATGTATGATAAACGAAATGTTAAACTGCATTTATTGGTCCGATTTTGGTATAAACAAAAACACGAAATTGAGTCCGAAATTTTTGAATTTCATTTCATGGTAGACCCGTAGATTGTCATCATATTAACTTTTACTCGGGGATGCTAGTGGTTGCCATGCTTGGCAGGCACTACTTGCTACTGCCCATTTCTCAACCATTAAGTACCCTTACATGCCTAATAATAACTGGTATATAAACTCCTTGTTGGCTCTTTATACAAAAAAGAAGAATAATGTTTTTATCTGACACTTTTAATTGTGACATTCTCCTACAAATGTAATAAACACATTCAAGATTCGATTTTTTTTTTGTTCAGACTCAGTGGCCCATTATAGAATGGACCAGGGCCAGGACACACATGACAGAAGTATAAGATAAAATGATAAAAAAAGTTAAATGTAAATTTTTGTTTACCTAGATTAGGATTGAGAATCTTCTTTAAATTATCGCCTGGCTTGCTCCTTGACAGTATATCTTTGAGTGCTTCACTGGATGGTGCTGCATAGCTTGTTTTCGCTCTGTCCAGCGGGTATTTCTCTTTCACTGCAAATCTGGAACATTTGTAAAGAAATTTAACTTTTTACATGTAACAAGAAGAAATAATGTAATAAATTTTACTTGTAGACCTGAAGTAGAATGAATGAAGCTAAGGAACGCGAAGTAGTGGTTGACTGTATCTTAAGATATTTTGTTCACCTTTACAGCTGAAGTTTATTTGAAAAGAGAAACATGTTCCTTGCTTATTCTTTTCAAATTGGGCAATACAATTTAAAAAAATATATATTTAAAAAATTTTATATGATAAAAAACAATTTCTATTCTATCTATTTCCATAAAGTTAACCATCAATTAGTTGTATAAAAAAAATAAGTCATATTAACAATAAAACAATTCCAAAGCAGTGATTACATTTGCAACTACACAAACCTAACTTTATCACCTTCCACATGTGGTCTCAGCACATTTAGTATGGTCCACTCGTAGTCTGTGAGCACTATGTTACCGCGGTCGTACAGCTCCAAGATGACATGGTACGCAGCCTCTCCACTTCCAAATTGTAAGTCCACTATACGATCAATGCCGAGCTGAGTGAGGCATTCTAGACGCTTGTTCTTCAAGTGTTTACGTAACTGGAAATTTAATACAGCATTAAAAACTATACAGTGGCCATCTTTATAAAGCAGGACAATGTGCAACTACATATATATATATATATATATATATATATATATATATATATATATATATATATATATATATATAATTACAGTTGCAAAATATAATCCATTCGTGTTTCAACCGTGAAGCAGTTGTGTTAGCATGGCTGTGTTTCGTTTTGAAGGGTGGGATATGACAGTGAATTTACAGGGTACAGAGGAATAACACTCCTCAGGAATGGCAATGCATGCGAGGTATCATGGGTGAAACAGTATACTCTGTTATGTCCATGGTACTGCTCACGTCTATAGGCGACGGCTAGTATAGTATTATATTATCTGTGGCGACAGTTAGCATTTTCCATCAGGTGGACCATCAGCTTGTTTGCCATTCTAAGTTGTATAAAAAATATATATATATATATATGTATAAATTTTTAAAATTTAAATTTAAAATAAACTTCATGAGAAATAAATAAAGAAGTATAATATGTAAAAGTTTACTATCATAATCATTATATCAGCCATTAAATGTCCACTGCTGGTCTCCCCATTAAGGGGGGAGGGTGGGGGTTGCCAGTAGTTGTCATGCTTGGCAGGCAGGTTGTCAACTGCAGTTACACTTGGTGATGTTTTAAGAGGGACGCTGCTGCCCATGCCTTAATCATTAAGTATACTATACATCAATATAATATTCTTGGTCCCTTTCTAGCCATGTCATGTCACATAAACTGTTATATACATTGTACAGGTATTAACTTTAGATTTATTTATATATCTTGTTATTGTTATTTTTAATGAGGAGTTTCGCGACTGACTTGGCCACAACAGAATATCAGTGTTTCGCTCTTTTAAGGGCAAAGCAATAAACTGAGTTGTGACCATTTTGTGTTACTATGGCATGCGCATGAAGGAAGGGAAAGAAAGGCGATTGTTAGTTTATATATTTTGTTTTTTTTATTTGTGCTTTTTTATTTTCATTCTTTTATCTCTTTTACTGTGTATTATGTGTATGTTTTTTTTTATTGTAATTTTTGTGCTGTAAGTAATGCAAATAAATTAATATTTACTGTATTTGTTATCTCTCTTTTTACTTGGTGCAATGAAGTGTAAATAAATAAATAAATTATCTATCTATCTATCATTTAATAAATACCAACTTTCATAGTAAACCCTGATGGTGCTACATTTTTCGGCCATTCAAAATGTGTTGTGTGGAATCTGTTGCCGGATTCTAGTAGCAGTACTTGTTTCTCCTCTGTTCGCTGTAGTCGTATCACATATGTACGGTTATCTATATCATACACTTGGTTGACACGCATGCCAATCAAGCTGTAACATAAAAAATTGTTTAATTAACATTTGCAGGAATAACTGCAAAAAATAATTCATGATTTTTTGACATGACAATGGAATCATGCGCTAATGGTAACATCTCTTTCCCAAGGAAATAACCATGATGGTTACCTAAACGGAGATTGATCTGACATAGTATATTTATAGTTGTAGGAGTACAAACCTCCTTATGAGGTTGTTAAAAGAATTATATATAAAAACTATTGTGACATTTATGACAAATGCATTACATTATAAACTTTTGCTATGAATCAATCTGTGTTTTAATATACGATAATACAACAATAGTAATCACATTACATATTTTTTTATATTTATTTTTTCTCAAGTAATGTGCTTACTAACAAATAGCATTTAATAAGATTCATCAGTAAATTGTAAAATTGTTATTATTTACTGAAAATTATAATCCTGATTAATTAATGCACCATATTGGACAATTGCTATTTATATGAAAATTTGTTTGTATTTCTGTTTGTAAATTAAAAAATGTGAGTCACCTACTCACATACCTTAAGGTAATATATAATATATATATATAAATTACAAAGTTTAGGTACAAATTGAAAATTTTGCATAGAGCTTTTTCACAAGTACATATCATATTTTAGTAATTCTTTCACAATCTGTCTTAAAGCGGGTCAGGACGCGTAATGTTTTATAAATAAAATTTCTTATAATTGTTTAAGATAAAATCAGTTTAATTATAAATTAATCAGAAACATACATTGCATCAGTATTTATTGTCAACGCTACTCCAACGTATTATTTAAAATTATTTACTTATATACGCATTTAAAATTAATACGAAACGGCGTACGTGGTGGTTGTATCATTTTTTTTTTTAATAAAAATATAACCTTACCTTTGTAATTCCGTGACCATACACACTATATCGTAAGTGTTAAATCGTGTCTTCATTTTGGATGTTTTATTTGTATCTAATTACAATATATTTAAACCACTATTATTCTTTTTTGAAATCAAGATATAATAAATAGTAAAATAAACATTATTTGTGTTGACATTACGACTTGACGACACGGCCAGCTGACACCGCCAAGGTACTGTAGTAAATGACATTGACTTTGACAACTAGGTTAAATTTAATGTAATTAAATAAAAATTTGAAATAGACGTGAGCTGTATGGGAAGAGTTCTTTGCCTTTCCTTTTTGTATAAACATAACAAAAAAAAAACGCTTGTCATTTCCATGTGCGATTTTTTTGTTGTTTTCGTTTTGATGATTCCATTTTAATTAAAAAGTTTCCAAGTAATTTCAAAAATTAATTACTTATCACCTTGGAATTAAACTTATTAAAACACAGTGATTAATTTTATTATTATATGCTTATCTGTACAATTGCAAAATGGGCGCGGAAGAACAGAATATCAAAGAATTTAAATTGAAACCTATGAAATGCGAATTAAATTTTCTTAGTAAATCTGATGGATCAGCTATATTATCACAAGGTGAAGAAATTGAGTTCAATATTATTAATGAAGTTTTGTACTTAAGTTCTGCCTGGATACCTCTACATTACTTGTGGTTTTTACCTCTAAGTCACATCCTTTTTTCAGTACACCTTAAGCATTGCCATTCCTCAGCATATGACCTAAGGAACGGCGACGCCTAAGGAATAACTACTATAGGCGTCACAGTATATTCTCTAATGTAGCTTTCTCAACTAGACTGAGAAAAAAAAATTAAACTAGAAACAGGTTTTACATGTTCTTGAAATCTGTATTCACAACTGTGTTCCTAATGCAGATCAGAAGCACAGACCTGATGTATTCAATGAAGGTGTTTCTAATGGTGTCATTTGTTGATTATTATTATGGTGGAGTCTATAGTTAATTGACCATATTATGATTCTAATTATAGGGTGCATTTAATGGAGGGGCTAGGTAGTACATGCCAATACCAGAATTGTTTGGTAGGAGTGGCTCAGTTATGGTCAAAGGCATCTCTAAAAATATCATAATGCACCTATTTAAGGGGCTCCCTTTAAAAAATTAATATAACAATGACTAGAAACCTACCAAAGGAGTTAGTCTATCACATAATTTGCATTGATTTGTTTTTTTTTTAATTTTTTTTTTAATCTATATTCAGGTGAAACAGTAGCACTGGCCAGTGTCAACGGACCATTGGATGTTAAAATGCAAAGTCAGAGCATAGAGAAATCAACTTTAGAAGTATTATTTTGCAGTAAAGGTGGCAAGCCATCAGTTGGTGATAGGTAAATATTAATAATAATTTTATAATGTTTATATACTAATGTTTTTATATTAATGCTCCTTTCCACTCAGGGTTTGCTGGAAGAGAACTCTTACAGAGTTAAGCTCGCCTGTTGTACATCTTTATTTAATATATATTATATGTTTGTAATTTTTTGTGTACAATAAATAATAAATAAATAGTTTTGAAGTATAATAGTGTTATCCGACTTAAACTAAGGAGGTCGAAATAGTTTTTCCCTATCTATAAAATAAACTACTGATATTATTGATACTACACAAGTACTTCCGTTTTTATTTTTATTTAATTAATAAATTATTAGCTCTTATCTCCATGTGATCTAGGCATAGAATGCACCAACCCTTCCTATCTCTTTTATAGGTGTTGTAAGATGTGACTAAGGGAATTTAATGTTCAAAGGATGGACAGCAGCATCTCTTTTAAAATTCCATCAAAGCTTGACTGTGGTTGCCAACTCATCTGCCAAGTGTGGCAACTAGTTGTAAAACTCAGCAGTGACAGTTAATGGCTGGTATAATATTAATAATAAAAATAAATTAAGTTTCTTCTATTTTTTATGAATAAATTTACTGGATGATTTAATGGAAAATGAATGAAGATGAAATACACTAATCACTGCAGAGACACAAATGTTTATATATTTTTCTCAAACATGCTTGGAAATGTAAGCATTATTTTGACAATCTTCTTCGAGATAAATAAAAATTGCCGTACTGGCTAGATACATGTGGGCAGCGGCCGGCAGAAGTTGTATGAAAATCCATATCTGTCATGTTTTGCGGCCAGATAAATTTTTATATAAACTCATATCTGTCCTGTAATTTAAAAATGGAATGACCTTTTAATTTGAATGAAAATTTAATTTGTAAGCCAGTTCAGCTTACAAATAGAAAGCTGTTTGCTGTTTTGCTGCTGTGAAAAATTATTATTGTTCGTTATTCGTCATTGAACTTAAAAAGTAAAATTGTGTTTTTGGTTTCCGCGCATTGTTTGAGAAAAGTACTATACAAGCCTTGGCCACAACTAGGCATTGATAAACTCACGTATGTGTGCCTCGGCTACGCCTCGTTCCACATTTGCACGTTCGTCCATCAATGCCTCAGTTGCTGGCCGCTACAGTAATGTACTATTATGTGAAACCAACTATCGGATGTCTTTGTTTGATAAGATTATTCATAATATATTTCATGTTATTTTTAGATATAAGGAGAATATAATAAGACAGACATGTGAAACGGCCATTCTGAGCAGTTTGTACCCACGCACTGCCATCACTATCACCATACAGGAGTTAGAAGACTATGGTGGGGTAAGAGCTATTTCATATGTAAATTTGCCATTTATTGATAGCTTGTTCATAGAATTCTCTTAATCCCTTGAGCGTTTATGCATCTTACGCTGTACCGAACAAAAATTGTGGTACCGCACGCTAATGCAACAGCATCTGTTGCATAACTCGAATTTGCAGCGTAATTTTCATTAAATTTATGTAGGTCATTAATTTATGTAGGTCATTAATTTATGTAGGTCATTAATTTATGTAGGTCTTTAATTTATGTAGGTCATTAATTTATGTAGGTCATTAATGTATGTTCGGTCATTAATTTATGTAGGTTATTGATTTTTGTAGGTCATTAATGTATGTAGGTCATTACTTTATGTAGGTCATTAATGTATGTTCGGTCATTAATTTATGTAGGTCATTGATTTATGAAGGTCATTAATTTATGTAGGATCGCTAGATATCGTAGACAGTTTGTTCTTCATGATAATGATATTCTTCTGTTATTCCTTTTTAGTTCCTCTCCTGCTGTCTTAACACAGCGTGCCTCGCGCTCGTCAACTCTGGCGTGGCGATGCGGCACGTGTTTGCGGCGGTGTCCTGCGCGCTCGACGACCGCGGCAACATACTGCTGGAGCCGACTCAGCAGCAGCTGGAGACGGCGCGCGCCACCATGAACTTCGTGTTCGACAGCCGACAGAAGAGCCTAGTCACTAGTAAATAGTTAATTTGTTTTTTAATAGTTTTTACCAGTAACTTCTTGATCAGGATGTATAGATTTACTGATATAAAAAGGAGCCTATAGGCAATTAATCGCTAACTAACTACCGACTAAAACGTCTTTCAAAAAAAGCGTTCACGCTCACTTTTTATCTTTATCCGAGCAGTAAGTGCTTTATATTATTCCCAAATTCGTGTATAATATAGTATATATCATATATGTGTAAGTATATTTGTTATTCATATATATTTATTCCTTTATATATGTAATTTTAGTATGTATGTATATCAATAATTAGTAGTTCCCTATGGTTGACTGGGAGAGAATGCTTTTAGCATTAAGTCCGCCATGTACACATATTTGTACTAATGAATAAATAAATAAATAAAATAATATCTTGTAACATAGACAAGAAGGGGGGATTGCTAGTAACGGGGTTTAGCATCACTATTGCTAGCAATATACCATGTCAGATTGACCTCTACATGGTCCCCCTTGGAAACCATCATGGTTAATTTTTGATCACTTCGTCACAATGAGGCAACAGGCTTGCTTTCATCCTCACTTATCATTCCTCATTGGTGTCCTGCCAGCGTACATCGATAGTTTAGGTGGGGTTACCAATCCATTTACTTGATTTCATATTGTATAATTATGTTGAAGCTCACCAGAGAGAGACTTTGTACAAAAGTCGAATGCTTGGGTACCTCTGTCCCATTCGTGTTTCTACCGTGAAGCAGTTGTGTTTGCATGGCTGTGTTTCGGTTAGAAGGGTGGGATATGGCGTGAATTTACTGGGTACACAGGAATAACACCTGAGTTCTTAGGAATGGCAGCGCATGGGGGTATCATGGACGAAACAGTATACTCTGTTATGTCCATGGTACTGCTCATGTCTATAGGCGGCGGTTATCACTTTCCATCAGGTGGGCCATCAGCTTGTTTGCCATTCTAAGTTGTATAAAAAAAAAAGAACCTGCCTTTTTGAAGTCCGTTGACAAACATACTTATGAATAGAAATGTTTGTATTGTACAGGATTCGAACCTACGAATATTGCAATGTAAAACAGTTGTTAAATCGCTACTCCACTAAGGTTTACATGTATTACTATTAACCGAAATAAGTATCTTAATTTGGTTTATTTTTTTATTTTTCAGTTTGTGCCTTATAAATTCGTCAGTTGTAAACCGATTTGGAAAATTCTTTTTTTATCTGAAAGGATATACTTACAGATTGGTCTCACTGAAATTTTATCAATATCGATTCAGTAATTTAGTTTTTAGATCAAAATAACTTTTATCATAATATCAAAATAGTTTTTAAAGGCCGGCACACCTGCAATGCCGCTGGTGTTGTGGGTGATCATGGGCGGCGGTAGTCACTTACCATCAGGTGAGCCGCATGCTAGTTTGCCCCCTGCGTTGTAAAAAAAAAAAAATTGTCAGAATCGAAGTTGGATCTTTTTTTGGACACAATATTTAATTATTGGAATTTCTATTCTATTATTTCAGGTTTCACAGAGGGCGCTTTTAGCGAGGACACATACAAGGAGGCTCTGGCCCGGTGCCGTTCAGCCAGCGACCTGGTCTTCTCCTTCTACAGGGATATAGTTACAAAATATTCAAAAGTTATCGGATAGTAATAAAGACTACGCAAATTTGCTTTCTTTTATTTACCAACTTCAGAAAAAGGCATCCTCTTATCCCGTCAACATTGATAACATCATTGTCTCAACCATCATCCGTCCACTGCTGAATATAGGCATCCTCCATAGATTTTTTTCTTAATGGGTGATAATGGAATGGTAACCCCGCCTGCGCTATCGGCATACATCGGCGGGGCACCAGTGAAAGATGATAGGTGAGGATGAAGCAGGTCAGTTAGCCTATCGTGACGAATTCAACAAGAATTATTCACGATGGTTTCCAGGGGGAAACACGTGGACGTTGACCTAATAGGGCATATTGCTAGCAATGGGGCTGTCAAACTCCATTGCTAACAATCCCTTTTCTCCCTCCTCCATAGATTGCTATAAGGAACGGTCCTGACTAACCCTCGTTCACTGACTCCCTGCAATGCATTTGAAGTCGTCATTCCATCTAGTGGGGTGACGCCATACACTACGGTTGCCTGTACGGGGTCGTTACTCAAGAAGCTTTCTTTCCCATCGGTTGTCGGTTCTTCGAGCTGTGACCAGCCCATTGCCATTTCAGCTAGCTTATAGATAGATAGAGTCTATTACCAACTATAATAATAACAGGTAAAAAAAAAAATTGCTGATAATAGAAGCTTATCCTTAACATAATTCTGCACTAATATTAGGATCTTCAGCGTGCCTTTAATCAAACTGTCTATAACTACTCCTCTACATCCGAAGGTTGCCTGCAAGAGATCGCTCTTAGTGATAAGGTCGCCCATTGTTTTCTCATTGTGATTATTTCTTGTAATTGTTTGTATTTATAATAAGTTTACTATTGTAATCTTTTGGAGGAAACAATAAAGAGTTGTTGAGATGTAAGTGAATGATTTAAGAGGAAGTGATTTAAGAGGGACTCTGCTGTCTGCTCCTCGCCCTTAGTTAGTCGCCTCTTACGACACCTACGGGAAAGAAAGGGTTTTTTTAATGGATGTTAATGAAATGGTAACTCTCTCCGCGCTATCGGTATACACTGGCGGGGCACCAGTGATGGATGATTGGTGAGGATGAAAAGGCAGTTCAGTTAGCCAATCGTGACGAGTTCAACGATACATTAGTCACGATAGTTTCCAGGGGGAACCGCGTGGAGGTCGACCTGATAGGGTATACTGATAGCAACGAGGACTAACCACTCGATTATTAATAATCCCTTTCCCCCGGAGAGGAAAGCGTGGCCTATTCTATGGTGGGACCACATGGTTATCTATGCTGGGATCACTCGGTTAATATAAATAAATAACAATAAGAAATTCGATTGAATTAATACATGTGTAAGTAAGTTTATCCGTATGTTATCTCTTGACGCCTAAATGTTAATCGATCTTCTTGAAATTACATTCAGTATTTGGGATGGAGATGGGCTTTTTTAATGAGATTTTTTTTATACAACTTAGAATGGCAAACAAGCTGACGACCCACCTGATGGAAAGTGGTAACTGTCGCCTATAGACATGAGCAGTACCATGGACATAACAGAGTATACTGTTTCGCCCATGATTCCCCCCATGCGTTGCCATTCCTGAGGACTCAGGTGTTATTCCTCTGTACCCTGTAAATTCACGCCATATCCCACCCTTCAAACCGAAACACAGCCATGCAAACACAACTGCTTCATGGTAAAAACACGAATGGGACAGAGGTGCGCAAGCAAACGACTTTTGTACAAAGTCTCCCTCTGGTGAAATCAGGCCAATCTGACTATCAAGATGAATTTCAACGCCCAAACATCGGTACTTTTTTTTTTACATGGTTGAAAATGGTATGGTAACCCCGCCTGCGCTAACGTGATACGCTGGTGGAGCACCAGTGAAGGGTGATAGATGAGAATGAAAACAGGCCAGTTAGCCCATCATGATGAATTCATACGGAAATAACTATGATAGTTTCCAGGGAGAACCGCGAGGAGGTCGACCTGGTTGGGTATATTGCTAGCAATGGGATTCTCAGTCTCCATTACTAACAATCCCTTTCCATCAAATATCGGTACTAGGCATAGATAAAGCTACAGGAGGTCAATACTGAATTAGCGGGGGGAAAGGGATTGTTAGCAATGGAGTTTGACAGCCCCATTGCTAACAATATGCCTTATTAGGTCGATCTCCACGTGGTTCCCCCTGGAAACCATCGTGAACAATTCTTGTTGAATTCGTCACGATGGGCCAACTGACCTGCTTCATCCTCACCTATCATCCTTCACTGGTGCCTGGTGTATACCGATAGCGCAGGCGGGGTTACCATTGCATTATCACCCATTAAAAAAAATACTGAATTAGTAGAATATCTAGTGAGTTGTATAGGTACAGAATTTATATAGAAAGCGTAGTACAGTCCAATTAGCAAGTTATTTGCGCGAGTCGCGTATGATAGGCATCAGCCACGAGCGAGACCCGAAGTAACAGTAATAATGTGAATAATTGAAGCTGGCCCTTTGCGACGCCGCTACCGAATATAAAGGCGGTAAAAAAGTATAACAAAATGTTGGACTTCGGTAATGTAAAGCAGGTGGCACAATGGGAACATGTGGGTGGTATTTTTTTTATAACACAAGGGGCAAACGAGCTTGTGGCTCACCTGATGGTAAGTGACTACCGCTGCCATGATCACCCACAACACCAAAGGCATTGTAGATGTGCTGCCGCCCTTTTAAAAAGAAATATGCTCTTATCTTGAAGGTTATGATGTCGTATCCGTTCGGAAATACAGCCGCTGGAAGTTGATTTCAAAGAGTAGTTTAACTTGGAAGAAAGTGTCTTGAAAAAGCAATATATGAATGATGATAATAAATAATGATTGAAGATTTGTTTATTTATTTAGTTATTGAAGTTACGTAAGGAAATATTTACCTGTAATTACGTCGCGTTAAGTACCAATAGTGTATTTAAAATATATGTCACCAACGCAAAAGTTTATAATTGACAACATCTTAGTTATACAGATTAGTAATGTATAAAGAGTACCGTGGGCGTCACAGTGTATTCTGTGTTGTCCGTAGTGCTGTTCATGTCTATAAGCGACGGTTGCGACGGGTATCATATAGGCCATCAGCTTCTTTGCCATTCCAACTTATATAAACATAACTTGCTTCCTTAATTAATTTTATACATTATATAGTTTAAAATTAAAAAATAGATATAAGGCTTATATGCTTATGTAATAAAAAATTTTGGTTCTGCATGTAACACAAACTTTATGGTATTGGCGGCAAAAAAACCAAGATGGCCGATCGACGCGATCTCGGATGCAAATGTCCGCCACAAAAGCGCCGCCAGCACATTTAAATGTCGTGAACTGATGGCGATCCCTCGACGAGCGTCATTTTTGCTCTATTTAAGGGCTGCGTTGTGAACTGTAAGAATGGAACAGATTTAAATAGCGGGCAACTAAGAAAATCCGAATGCCCATTTAGCTGACAAAATAAGCCATGCCCATTCTAAATAAACTGTTGAGGTGCCTATTTCTGAGGTGAATGAAGACTTGTTATCATCGTCATTTCAGCCATTCTATTGTTGACCATAGATCACTCCCATATTTAATCATAGTATGGTCCTAAACCATTTGCCAGCCATTAACTCTCTGTAGCTTTTTATTGCATAGATTGTATTGAAATTATTTAGGTATTAATACCTACACATGATATTAATACCTACCTAGTGATTTAATTCAGGCATCATTAAATAATAGATCTTAATTAATTTTATAATATCTCTGAATTAAATTAACTGTGATTAAAGTACCTAGTGGTTATCAGGTAAAACAATATCTACAGAATTCAAAGTTCCAAGCTTAGATTATATATGTAGATAGAGTCTCGAGTCTCAAAAACGGGTCAACTGTTTGTCAGCTAATGGCTAAATTAGCTGTCTCGATTTTTAATTAGAGTTCTATATACTTGCGTTTAAGACTTACGCATACTGTAATGTGTTTTGACGTATCTATATTTAATTTATTTATTAATTAAAATAAATTTTTACGCATTAAAAAGATGCAAAAGTTATAAGACAAAGTAAATATAGAAGTTGTAAAGGAAACATTTATAACTATTTATCAGACAAAATTATAGGAAAAAGTTGACCTGCTTTTCTCAAAGCATTTGTATGGATACACTATCTATATAATCTAAGTTTCCAAGATTTAAATTTATGACGATCATCACAGTAGTTGTGTAGTTAATTCTAAAACAACACGAGGATGCCGGGCAGCTGTCATCGGAGAAACATAAACTCTCTACCATCGACAACAAAACCATTCATCTAATTCAATCTGGGAACGCGACGTTAATCAAATCCGCCGCGAACGTTGCCGAAGCGAAAGAGTAAAATATGGCGGCCTCTACGACATTTATCCTTTCCCGCGCAATTTACATACTTCAGAATTTGCGTCTCGGCCGGCATTCCCACGATCCGATGTGTCTTAATATCGATTCAAGATCTAAATTAAATGGTTAGCGGGGTTATTGTCACCTTTCTACAAAACTGGGGAATGTTGAATTTTTGTTGTTGCTAAGTCGAATTGCCAGATATTTTATTCATACTTACAATTGTGTCCTGGTATACATACATAGCTGATGACCCACTTAATTTATAAAATAATATAATATTTTTTTATGATTAAAACGTTATGGAGGCTTAGAGCAACTCGACATTGGGAACTACACATTGCAAACGATCATTGTCAACAATTTAGGGTTGGAATAAACTGCACCAAAGCAGTAAAAAAAAAATAGGTAATTTACATTTCTTGATACACTGTTTAATTGGACAATGTCGTTCATTTTATATGGATGCGATGCGTAGGTATACGGGACGGGAGTATGACGAATGCAAGTTGAAACATGCCGGCATGCTACCACCACCGCTTTATTGTCATAAAGCATGCTAACCGAGCCGGTAGTGGTCGGCATTAGCATGAAAAATTACATGTTGGATACAAAATGCGGCCGCCTGCCCGTTTAACAAATGGTA